TAGAAACCCTTTTTGGCGGTTAAAATTGATACACTGTCACTTAGAGCACTGAGAAGTGTCTGCGCACCCACTCCTCCCCTAACCCACCAACATTCAGGGTTAACGTTGAGTTAAGGGAGGGATGGGTGTGCAGTTGCTCAGATACAGACTTTGATCCACGATTTCAGATGCAAAACTTTGCTTTGACTGCTCAGGTATCGGAACGCGAAATGCAAAGGTCCCTTTGGCATTGCTATACGATAAAAAATACTGCATTCAATAAAGGCTGATGGTTTTTAAAGAAACTGTTTGGCGCTGCGTCGGTGGGGGTAACGAGATAATTTGAATATATCAACACTGTTGAGGTGGTAAATTGGCTACCCTTACGGTTATAAAAGCTGACGTTTTGAGCGTTAGCCCTTCGTCGGAGCGAATGACGATGGGCTAACGCTCGAAACGTCAGCTTTTATAACTGTAACGGTGGCCAATTTACCATTTCAACTTTGTTGATATATTCAAATTAATACTGCAATCACTTGCCCACAGGTCAAAATCAAAATGTTTTCACTGTGTATTTCCAGGTGGAATCTGAGAACAAGTTTGAACGTGTCGGTGGAACAAGCATGGGCGGGGGAACCTTCTGGGGCCTGGGTTCGCTTCTAACGAGTGCGAAGGTACTAGACACGTATCGAACAACGACGCGTCATAGAAGGAGAACGGCGCTGAATTTTATTCAATAAGCTTTTTGAAATTCATTTTTTAAAACTCTGTGCTACCCGTGGACGTAGCTTAAAAAAGTTTTGGCGTCTGGCTCTAGGCCTAGCAAAATTTTTGGTTTTGTTTCGTTTTGTATTTTGTTTGTTGTTTCTGTGTTTTTGTTTATTTGTTTTTTTCTCTTGAGTTTGTCTTTCGATTACGTTTGATATAACTAACGACTGGATAACGTTTTTTATTTTTAGGGCTTTGATGAATTACTGGAGCTTGCAACCAAAGGCCATCATCAAAATGTGGACATGTTGGTACGAATTGCAGCTCATGTATTTCCTATAGTAGTTAGGAAAGTAGTTAGGCCTGCATGCCTTTCCTCGTTACCCTCTGTAACTGGTCAAGGAAACTGGCGTCATCTTCACAACTGACCAATTAGATGCAAAACTGAAACCGCTCATCATGTGGTCATCCGCGTTTTCCCGCGCTTGAGATCGTGTGCATTCCTCTGAGTTCTCATTGGTTATTGTAATGCTCAGCGTTTTTTGATTGGCTGTATTGGTAACCTTGGTTTTTGTTCTTCGAAACTCAACCAAGAATTCAGTTTCCTTTTGAGCCTCATCAAACAAACTAATTTTGTAGGTGAGAGATATCTATGGCGGAGCTTACGATGCATTGAAGCTTCCAGGAGACTTAACTGCGAGCAGTTTTGGAAAAACAGTCAGGTCACCGAGAGATGATCAACATACTGGTTTGTTCAAACTTTATCAGAGTTAAGATTACTGGTTTCCAGAACGCATTTATACTGGCAAATGTTGCTGGACACTTTTTCTTCCCTTTATATGGCATCCTTACGCATATTGGGACTGTTTCCAGTTTGCGTTTGCTTTGGTTAATATTAGGTACCATTAAAGGTGGAAATCCAACTAACCTTATCAATCTTATCCTTATCGAAATTAAATTTAAGCTGCAAAAGTAACACAAAGCGGGTTCTCGAAAACCACGCACGTGTCGTGTGGAAGTGTTTTTCAGTGATCTTTAGAGTAGAGTCTAGTTGACTGTAATCAGAACCTTCTTCCTCTGCTGAGGCTCTCCAGTAGACGTCCGTTGAAAGCAATGCATGCGAGTGACTATCTTATTTTCACTTGGTTTCACTGCATCCAGCGGATAATTAGTAGAGAGCCTCTGGGAAGAAGAAGGAATGACTGGATTTCCC